GGGAATCTCAACTGTTTCCAAGGTGTGACTCAGAAACTATAGGTCCCTAGGATTGTGGCCAGACCCCAGGATCAATTATAATATCATGACTGCATTCGTCTCTTTATGCCCAGCATTTGTATATACAGTTTTGGGGTGGGGATCTCAACCGTTTCCAAGGTGTGATTCAGAAACTATAGGTCCCTATAGGATTGTGGCCAGACCCCAGGATCAATTATAATATCATGACTGCATTCGTCTCTTTATGCCCAGCATTTGTATATACAGTTTTGGGGTGGGGATCTCAACTGTTTCAAAGTTATGACCCAGGGACTATGTCTCCAATGGGTGGGGCCTGACCCCTGGCAATCCTGGAAACATATGTGCATTCTTCTCTTCATTCTCAGCAATTGTATATATGGTTATAGGGTAAGGATTTCAACCATTTCCAAGCAATAAACTATTTTTGGCCCCACCCTTTTGCCAAGGAGGTCAGCCCCACTACTTGTACAATTTGAATCCCTAGCTCCCATGAATGCTTCCAACCAAATATGATTTATATCCAGTGCTTAGGTCTACAGAAGAAGTAATTTATAGCAATATAGCCAAAATACCCTTTTTGGCCCCACCCCTCAATATGATTGATATTCAGTGGTTCCTTAGAGTCAGTCCAACCATTTGTACAATTTTGAATCCCCTTTACCTAGGGATGCTTCCAGTAAAATATGGTTGATATCCATCTTTAAGTTTCAGAGGAGAAATCGCTTAAAGTGATATATCCAAATTGACCCCTTTTGGCCCCACCCCTCATCCCCCTGAGGGGTCTGCCCCCCCATTTGTACAATTTTGAATCCACACTATCTAGGAATGTTTCCATTTAAATATGGTTGATGTTCATCTTTCAGTTGTAGAGAAGAAGTCGCTTAAAGCAAAATAGCAAAATAACCCTTTTTGGCCCCGCCCCTCAGCCCCCTCGGGGGTGAGCCCAACCATTTGTACAATTTTTAATCTCCACCTCCCATGAATGCTTCCAGTAAAATATGGTTGATATCCATTGCACAGTTCTACAGAAGAAGTTGTTTATAGCAATATAGCCAAATTGTCCCCTTTTGACCTCGCTCCTTAGCCCCCTGGGGGGTTAACCCTACCATTTGTACAATTTTGAATCCCTAACACCTAGGGATGCTCTGGCATATTTAGTTAAATTCCAATTAATGGTGAAGAAGAAGTCGTTTGAAGAAATTGTTGACGTACGGACGAACGACGGACGAACGACGGACGAACGCTACGGTATGGCATAAGTTCACCAGGTGAGCTAATAAGAATTGAGCATTAAACAAAATCAATATCTACTGATCATTAATATCCAGTTGAGCAAGAGTCACGAACCTGTCAGGGAAGTAGACGTGCTACCCTGGTAACCAAGTATTGGTTGACATGCAGATCTGCATGCACAACTATACACTAAAGCAGCATCAAAGAAAAAAAACAGACCAAAAGGGTCTGCTTACCATACACATTCATAGCAAGTTGTGGAATCTCCCGTTTTCACATGGGAATTCCCCACACCCCAAACCCCCACCCCCACCCCCACCCCACCCCTATGTTGATCCGACTATTACCCTGTTTGTTGCCCCAAACGTGAGATAATTTTTAATGCTACAGGACAAAACCTGTCTCCACTGAGCCATCAACATGAACAATTGGCCAGGATAATGTGATTAACAAGCTAACCTGACCAGCAGTGACCGATCCTATTGTTACAGTAATACAATCTAGGTGTTTCAAATGCTTTATTATCTCTATGATAATTGAAACGCACAAGAAACCCTGAGTTATCAAACGATTCCATGTTTTAGATAACCGTTCGGTAAATACGAGAATGATCTTCATGAATTTTAAGCAATATTTATGTCTTGTTAGCTTTTTAAGTGATTCCCTCCAACATGACAGTACATGTACCAGCCTGAAATTATCAATCAGCATAATGACAAGATTCTGTTCAATTCACTATAACAGACATTGAAAATACATCTTATTTTGATTAATAAAAAAAGTTAGCTGAGTGGATTTGTGTCAACATTTGTTGTTTGGTTTTCTAACCCTCTGCAGAGCCTCGGGTTAAACAACCAAATGACATCACCCCTCGGGTAGATTTCTCTGTCACACCCTCAAGGTAGGGGATGATAATTTTTCTCCCATCCTATTATTTCAGTCACAACTCCACTGTCAGTAAGTCTGCCATGTTTGTAAAGACAAGAGGCCCATTGGGCCTGCATCGCTCACCTGTTATTAATCTAACACTTGTAATCTTGAGATTTCATAAGAACCTATTAAAAGATTTAAACATATGACGCCTCTGACCTTGATTGTTGAACAAGGACATTAGGTTGAAAGTGGATCAAGGTCATTCATTTGAACTAACATGGTAGTCCTTCATCCCAGCATGCTACAGGCCCAATATCAGTACCCTGG